TTTACTTGCTTTTTTCTGATTTCCTAAGAGTGAATGGAAGTGGGGCAGAGCCTCCCTTTGTGAGGCAGCCAGAGTAGCAGGGAGGAGCATTGGATTATTTTTTAGGGGGGACACAAAGCAGCTCTAACCTTCCCACTGGATTAGGTAACATAAAAAAATCTTTAATAACCCCCAGAACACCACTGCCCTTTGCTGCTGGCAGCAGAACCTGTGCAGAGCTGGCAAGGAAACAGCCCCTGGAAAAGGAATTGCAGCAGCCCCTGGCATGAAGGTGCTGGGATAATATCCAGCTAAAGTGAGTCACCTCGTGCTGCTGCAGTGGTGTGCTCTCAGGAAACTCTCTCTTTGATATGATCTTTCTTTAAAAGTCAGATCTTTCCTCTGGGAAAAGGCAAGTCTTGACTTAGGCTGACCTACCTTGTTTTTGGCTGGAAAAAGATCTTTTCCCTTGGCTGCCCCATGACTTTCACTCACAAACTCCCTGAGAACATTTTAAAAAACCATTATTTAAGTCATCCCCATCCGGCAGCATGAATCCCAGTTCCAAAAAATGGTTTTATTGCCCTAAGCTGATAAAATGCCCATCCTTTCATTCAGACACATCTTCCTGCCTGTAACAAACGATGCTGAGGGTTTCACCCGGGGAGGTGCTCAAGTCTCACCCATGTCCTTGCACTGTCATCTGACAGCAGCTTGTGGCACTGCAGAATTTGCCTTATTGACACCATTTGTGGGATGGAAATTCACAGAGATTCATGCACTTCCACAAATTCAAGAGAGTTTGATCTACAGCCTTAAAAAGAGCTTAGATTGATGTAAAAATAAAGCGCACAGATATTAAGTAGAAAAGTCATAAACTTATCTTTCTATAGTTGTAAGTAAAAATATATCTTAAGTAAGAAACTATATTGAGTAAAATAGTAGAATCTATAGTATAGTTATATACAATATATATTATATATAGAAATATATAATATAATATAATATAATATAATAATTATATTATAGTATATAAATTATATACAGCAATATATAGAGTAAGTTAAGAGATTAAAAGTTATAATAAAAACATATGTGTATATGTACAACCTATTAAGCAAAAATATTCATAGTACAGCAGAAGCAAGTAAAGGTAGTAAGTTAGAAAAACAAAATAACTATCCATTAAATTAAAAAGTTATATATTATCTTACAACAAAAAACTTATAGCTACTTTGTACTATGACCAACTACCTATTCCTCCAAAAATCTCACAACCTAATGTTTATCCAAACAGTAAATCATTCTGAACCCAACAATAGTCCCATCTCTTTATTACAAACAACAACAATCACCAACAGTCATTGTGGGTGACACAGAGGGTGACTCTGTGCCCAGTGGTGATTTATGGAGCAATCTCACTCAGGATCCTTGAAGGCAGCAGGGATTTGGTGTGAGGAACTGCACCACAAATCTTGAAGCAGAGAAATCTTGGCTTAGTGATGTCAAGATAAAAATCATTTTAACTGCTGGCCTGCTGAATGCCCAAGATGTCACATAAACTGGAGCCAAATCCAGCAAAAATATTGCAATAATTCAATTATTTCTTATACCAGCCTCTCTTATTGCCCTGTGCACAGGATAGCCATGCACACACTCCCTATGTACCCTCACCAGAGGGAATTGCTCCACTTGGAGTGAACCATTTTAGCCCTACTCTTGTGTGTGGATCAGATGCAATTTAAGGGAAAATGGCAATTATTTTTTTCTTTCTTGTGATAATTCCTTTTAAATCACCATCCATCATCAAATACATTTGAATTACCCAACTTAGACACCTGCTTACCAGTAAATTTTAAATTTCTAATTATTGCTAGTGGTTGTGTTTGTAAGGATTTGTGCCTGATGCCTAAAATTTCTTCGCAAGCTGCTCAGAATGCTTTGCACTAAAAGTGGAGACATAAACCTACCAGTGTTAAACAAGAAATTCTTCCAAAAGTCAAAGCTGTTCTTCTTCTTTTTTGTCTACATGGGCCATTCAGAAGTGAACTTGGTAGGGCAGGAACTGCTCTGTAGTGATGAAAAATGCCTCCATAAGTGAGTGGACTGAGTCTCTCGCGTTTTAGGATTCACTGAGCTCCAAATGGGAGAATAATGTGGATATGAATGGGATAAATGATGTCCTGGAATTGTCCTGTGACAACACAGCCCAGCCAGGGACTGCCAAGAAGATGAATATCCAAAAAAGGGGAGAAAAATATTCTTTCCAGTACTGCCAGGGAAGTTTTTCTTAATCTTTTTAAAAAATGTGCAATGCCTTGCCTAGCTACCAACAGAGACTGGAGATAGAAGCACTTGAGGAATGGAGATGGGGGCAGGAAAAATTCATGAAAGAGTCGTGTGCAGGATGAGTTACAGTTCCAAAAGTGTTACAACATCAACTTTCATTCTGATGTCAAGACCATGACCAGCTGCTGAATTTTGGTCCTGCAGAATTCTCATTTCTTCAGTGCACAATCCATGGACTGCAAGGCACAGACCCTGTTTTTTCCCAGATAAATGTCAAAGCTGTGTATCTGCAAAAATAAAGGCCAGTAAATGGTGTCTGAAGTAGCTATTAATCTTTGGAATTAGTTGCTCCAAGTGCAGATTGCAAGTACATGAAACAACAAAAAATGGAATTAAATTAGGGAGATTTATCGTGAGCAGTTGTTGCACGGTGGTTTGGGTTTCAGCGGGAGCACAGAGCAAAGAAAGATCTGCACAAAGACATAAATTAAGTAGGAATACTCCAAGGAAAAATCTTGTTTACTCTGTGCAAGCATCCATGTCATCTGTCACCTCGGAGCACAGGACCGAGGGCTCGGGTGGGAGCTCCTGGATGTGCTGAGAGGTGCTGGATCAAGGTGCAGGTATTAATATTGGAACAGTGTTTGTGGAAGGAATTGGAGGATGCTGTGGTGTCAGACAAAGCCCTCTGAGCAGGAAAAAATCAGCTCAGAGGTGGGAGAGGCGGCAGTGTGGTGGCAGTGATTCGTTCCTCTCTGGATGTACTGAAGCTGAGTGAGCCTTTCAGTAATTGCAGCGCAGCCTTCAGATGGTGTTGGATGAGATCTGGGTGGAGGTGACAGTGACCTGAAGGTGCTGAGCTCTGCCAGCATCCCAAGGTGACACTTCTGTCCTGAGGGAGTCACCTTTCCATGGGCTGGCTGTGAGCTGTCCACAGTTACCACTGGGTGAAGAGAGAAACCTGAGGAAAATTAAAGAATTTCTCTGTTTGAAGAGAAGTTCTGTTTTAAATGCCTGACTGCAGCTCTGGGGGAGAGGAGAGATGGTGAAATGAGGCAGAGCAGGTGACAGGGACCTGGAGCAGGTGACAGGGACCTGGGGCTGTGCTCCCTGCAGGGACAGCCTCTCAGCAGCCGGGTGCAGGGTGAAGCCTCTGTGGCACAAAATGCTCTCCAGCCCAAATGCTCCCTCCCTGTCCCCTTCTGTGCCTGAAAGAGCTGTGCCATGGGGCCATCTCAAACCCTGTCAGCCCCCAAAACCCAGCTGCACCTGTGGGGATGACTCCATGGACCAAGCAGGGTTTACAGAATCACAGCAATGCAGGCTCATTGCATCTGCTCAGGGATTGCCAGAGCTCACTGCATCTGCACAGGGATCCCAGAGCTCCTTTGGGAATCCCAGACCATGCAGAGACACAGCACTTGTGCTGTCCCACTGGGATCCCCCTCCCTGTACCTCTGCAGCTGTGAGGGAGGTGACCCTCATCACTTTTAACACTTCACTCCCTTTCTCCCCATAAAAGTAATCCCTGGTTTTACTTCCCAGCAAAATTCCCTGGCAGATGAACTGAGCAGATTTTGTTACTAAGAACTTTTTTTATAGCAGTAGAGTTACAGAGAGAACTGCCCAAAGCACAGTTACTGCTAGGAAACCTTTAGGAACCTTAACTCTAAATAAATCAAATATATTCCCTTAACTACTGAGCTTTTTAAGGCACACCTTGCTCTTTTTTCAGGTTCCCATCATCATATTCTGGCAAGCTTCAAGATGAAATCCTTTGGCTTCCACCAGCGTGCAGCTATTGACATTTGGGCATGGATCAAAGTGAATTTCCACAGCTTTCAGGTATAAGGAATAGTTGGAAGATTTTTTTGTTTTGTTTTTGGTTTTTGTTTTTGGTTGTTTTTTGGGGTTTTTTTGGGTGTTGTTTTTTTTGTTTTTGTTTTTTTGGTTTTTTGGGGTTTTTTGTGTGTGTGTGTATCCACAGGGTATAACACTCCTCTGCAGACCCATTTTAGAGTGGATATAAAATAAATCCAGCAAGGCTCCTCTCTGCTCAGCAGGGCTGCAGCCAGGTAAAGGGAAGGCAAACAGGGTTTAGTGTCTGTATCTTGACAACTTTTGTGGTTCTGTTCGTTCCTTCCAGGTGGAGGCTGGACAAGCAGCTGGAGGAGAAATTCGGGGGCAATTATAAAACAAACAGCCCCCACATTTGGCTGAGGGAGCCCTGAGCAGCCCTCCTGGTGTCTCTAAAGTGACATACATGCAGACATACATATTTATACACACAAATGTGTATAAATGCCTTGTTCTTACAGCTCTGCTTTGGCACCTGCCTCTGTGTCCATCCCAGGCAGGATGCTGGGCAGCTTCAGCCTGACTCCACGAGTCCATTCCCATCCTCCAGGCCCTGCATGTCCACGGAGATGTCCAAAACCCCACGTCCACTCCTTCCGTCCCTCCCATTGTCAGGCACGGCCTGACTCACGTCCCCTTCCTTGCTTTCTCTGTGTGCTCATGTAATTTCCAAGCCACCTTCCTTCCCTATTCCACACCCCAATTTATTTTTTCCTAAGGGTCTTTCCCCTCCTTCCAACTCATTTTCAGAAAACCAGCGTCACCCTGGTTTAATGAAAGCCCCTGGATGTTTATCATGTTGTTAAACCATTTCCTTCGAGAGGGCTCCAGATGAAGTTATCACTGTGTCAAGGCGTGATGCAAACCCCGCAGCAGGAAGCACACAAAGGGAGAGCCCACCAGGCTCTTGGGAAGTTTGGGTGAGCTGTTTGTAAAAATCTGCCGAGCCCACCCCTCCGAGACCTTTATTTCCCCCTGCGGCAGCTGTCATCTGATCCCACGCTTCGGCTCTGAATGGGGCTCTCGGAGGATGCCAGATGTTGGGAACAAAGGTCTAAAAATAATCTTTCCAAGTAATCTTCCCGTCCATCACTCAAGGAGAGCGTCAGCTTTGTGCGAGCATGTGAGCCGAGAACCTGATCTAACTTCAACAAGTTCAACAGCAGCTCCCGGCTTCTGCCTCTGGGCCCCTTTTTTTTTTTTTTTTTTTTTCTTTCTTTCTTTTTTTTTCATTCCTTCCCCTTTCCCTTCCCAGAAGCTGCGCAGGGAAAAGCGGCTCGGAGCGCTCAGCCCTCGCTCTCTCTCCCTCCCTCCTTGCCAAGCCCGGAGCCGCCCGGACCCCGAGAGCTCCGGGGTTCCTTCTTCCATCTCTCCCTGGGGAAGAAAAAAAAAAAAATGAGCTCCAGGCTGCTGCCAGAGATGCGTTTCTGTCAAAAGATCTTCGCTGCAGCCCTGTGTGTGCTGGTTGTGCTGCCGGAGCCGGGCTGTGCCAGGACTCTCTGGAAACGCGCTCTGCTGAAAATGACGGAGAAATACGATGTGAGTGAGCCTGGGGGGTTTGGGGGATGCTCGCCGAGAAAAGGGGACTTATCCTTACGTGGTTTGGGATAAGGAGTGTTTGGATCGGCGGGCTGGCTCTGTGTCACAGCCATTCACGAAGTTTTCCCAGGCGGTGCGAAAGTTTTGCCACCTAGCTGCTGCAGGGGGAAGCTCGGAGCAGGGAGAGAGCTTTGGGATGGCTCTTTCCTGGAAACTCCCCAGGGCAGCCAGGGGAAAAGGGACCGGGGGAGAAGGGGGATGCAAACCCTGCGGCTCCGGGGAGAGGTTTAGTGCGAGGAAGATAATGGGATTTATTGCTTGGAGCAGGGAGGGTTCCCTGCCCAGCTTTTGGGGTAACTGTGCCGCCTTTTGGGGTAACTGTGGTAAATGTGTGCTGGAGGGAGGGATGGGGGCATTGCCCACGGTTCTGAAAATCCCTGGAGCACCGAGAGCTCAGCCCCACAGAGCCAGAGCAGCGTGCCCATCACCCTAAAGGGTGGTGATGCCAGAAATCCATCCCTGCCAGCAGAGCTGCTGGCACGCCCTGGCACACCCTGGGTGCCTCCATCTGTGCCTGCTCCTGGCACCGGGCACTGAGCACAGCCACCACCTCCAAACCCGCTCTGCAGAGAGCTGCCCAGAGCACAGTCACTGCTAGAAAACCTTTAGGAACCTGAAGTCTAGTTAAGCAGGAGTGCTGGAACTGGAACTGGGACAGAACGAGGAGGGGATGGTGCTGGGGCTTGCCCTGGTGGGTCTGGGCCAGACAGCTGTCAGAGATGGTCACAGAGGAAATGGGAATTGGGAAAAAAAAAGGGAAATAATTTGATAACTTGAGTTTTGGGACTCAAGATTTAAAAAGAAAAACAAAAAACTTAGAAAAACTTTTATAAACTTTAAACTTTTTAAAGTTTAAAAAGAAAAAAAAAACTTAAAAAAAAAGGAAAGAAAGAAAAAAGTTTTTTTTTCTTTTAAAAAAGAAAAAAAAGTTATAAATTTGAAATTTTTACTTGATCCATTCAAGTTCCCTTAGAAAGCAGCACTGATCCAAGGTTTCTTCCCCATGAACTGCTTGGGTGCAAGCCCCAAACAGTTTATTTTCTTATGCTCAGGCCTGACTGCATCTTCCAACCACTGCATGTGTATAAACAGCACCTTGGTGTCACAGGCAGATCCCTCCCTCTGTTTTCTGCAGCTTTTAATTCAAAAAGGATGTTTTTATGCCCATGAATTTTAGAGTGATGTTTGTGCATGGCAACATTTGGTTTGTGCAATTCCTGACTCAGAATTGTGACACACATCCCTTACCCCCGATGAGCAAACTGAAATTCTGTCTTGCATCCTTGAAATTGTGCAGAAAACATTGTGCTGATATTTGAAAGGCACCTCAGGATTTTGTAAAAAAATCTTCTTTATAGCCTCTCTTGGTCTGGGGTATCCTCTGGTTTGCACTTTAATTGGAAAATGGATATAAAGAGTTGCATTTCCTGCAAAATCACTCACTGGAAAGTGCATTTATCTGGATGTTCTGCCATGTTTCAGTGTGAAGCTGAAATTTAGTAGTAACTATGAGGTGAATGACCCAGAGAGATAGGACAGGAGCAGAAGAGGAATTTACATGTTGATTTTCAGATAAGGAGCCAGCTCCCCTGGGGATATATCCTCTTCTTTCAACCTGCACTTCTTCAAAGGGCTGTTTTTCCTGGCAGCCCTGAATCCAGGTGCTACTGATCTGGCAAGCTCAGCTAGAATTGCTCATATTGACAGAAACATAGATCCAGGGAAAACAGAAAATACTTTTCTTTCTCCTCCTCAAAGCCTTGTCAGGGGGAAAGCGTCTGCTCTCCATCCTCTCCTGCACCAGGAGGCAGTTCTGGCAGCCCCTCTGCTTTCTCAGAGGGATGTTTTCTTTCCTACCAAATGCTGTGTGTTCCCTGTGGTTGGAAAATCAGAGTCTGGGGGCAGAGCAGCTGATTTGTGAGTCACTTGGATGGAGGGATGACAGATGGAGGTGCTTATGGCAACGTGGGACGTGGGTCACAGACATCCCTGTGGGACCCCAAAGGACACAGCTTTGTGTGGTCTGAGCCCAGAAAATCTGAGGCTGCAGCAGGGAGGGTGTATCCAGAAAAATGCTGGGTGCAGAATGACAGGCAGGTGTGAGGGTGAGGAGCTGGCCAGGGGGTTTTCATTCAGCCTGAGGAAGGGTGTTGCTCGGCAAGGAGGGGTCAAGTGGGACTGGAGAAGGGAGAAAGAGGGATTGCAGTGAGGAGAAAAACCTGGCAGGCACAGTGGGACGCCGGAGCTGGGCTTTAAAACAAATCCATCTATTTTCCAGAAGGACACTTGTCGAGTTCAGTGATTTGCAGCTGGTGTTCTGCAGCCCCCACACTCCAGGGACTGTTCCCAGGGGGCAGAGGGAGGGAGCTACCTGGGAGTGGGTTCAGTTCATTATAAAACACCCATCATGTCTGTTGGAAAAAACTGGGCCAGTCTGGATTTCATTCCACTGTCAGCTACAGCAAGTGTTTTAGAAAAATCCCAGCCTTCTTCTAAAGTTTTCCAGAAATGAAGAATTCCTCACAGCTGCTGTAATGCTCTTCCAACAATTTATTTACCCTGCAGCAGCCAGCTGTCATAAATCAGTCCTGGGGTACCCTCTTTGTGTTCTGGCCCCCAAATCCTCAGAGTAACCTGTGAGCAGAGCAGCCTCAGCCTCCCCTTTGGAACCTGCACACACACACACCTTTTTCTGTATTTCCTTCTTTCCAGCCTTTTACTCATTATTGTGCATCTCTTTGGAACCCACCCCAGTTCTGCAGGGTTCTTCCAACTGCAAACAGCAGATCCAAAATGACAAATCCTGAGCTAACAACAGGAGAATATTATTCCTATTGCTTTGGTCTTGTCCTTCAAATTGTTTAAGCTGATTTCAGGCCAATGTTTGCCACTTTGATCATCACTGATGGGTCACTTTTCAGGTCTTTAATGGAAATATTGGAGGATTCAAAATTCTCTCTGACTGTGGTGGGCTTTTTTGGGGTTTTTTTGGTTGTTTTTTTTTTGTTTTGTTTTGGGTTTTTTGTTTGTTCGTTTGTTTTTGTTTGTTTGTTTGTTTTGTTTTGTTTTATGGCCAGTGTTTTTAATACCTGCCAGGGCCAGAGCTGGTGGTGGGAGGCTAAAATAAACCTCATGTGCCACCTCAAGGGGCTCCGTGCAGAATGAGCAGAGAGCTGTGCTTTGACACAAGCTCAGGGACCAGGTCCAGACACAAATAACAGAATAGATCTGGGATTTTTGGGAGGCAGACTGCATCCCGCAGTTGCTATTGAAATTATGGCTGAGACTGAGTGATTCCATCCAGGTTCTTCCTCTTCTTTGTTGAATTCCAGGGTTCCTCAGCTGAACTCTGAACTTTTCCCCTTACTTTGTTTCTATCTTTAAGGCAGATATTGTCATTAAATTATTTAACAATTTTTCCTGGAAAACAGAAATTTACCCCCTGCACTGAAAAATGTTTTAAAAGAAATTTTGACTGTCACCACCATCTGCAAAAATAATAAATCAGAGACAAACTGTGAATGCTGGGAGAGCTTCTAAAAAACTTACAACCCAAACCTGGAGACAACCTTAACCAGGTTATTTTGGGGAATGAGAGAACCCTGTTTTATGCACCCATAAACAAGGGGGTTTATTAAACCAAACAAGCAAAATATTCTTATTTTGAAAGCAGTGAGTTGTGAGCAATAGGTGACCAGAGAAAATGGGCAGGGAGGTCATGAGGTACAAAGTTATTTGGCTACAACTGTTATATTGTTCCCCAACGGAAATTTCATTCATGGAGCCAGCTGTTCATTGCAATTTTGGCTTCTTGGTTTCTGAATCATCTGTGAAGCAACTGCAGTAATTGTTTGGTGGTTTTTTCATGTATCCATTATTTGCCAGTATTATTTTGGTCCCATTTCCGTCTGCAGATGACCTTTCAAATAGAATAGTAAATGTGACCTTCCAGGATGAACACTCCCTCCAACAAGGAGACCTGCTCAGTGTTTGGAACTGCACAGATTTATTGCTCAGTGCTCCCTTATATCCCAAAATTATGCCTGGTATGAAAATTTGATCTATTTAAAATCCAGCAATCCGGGAAAAAAAAAAAAAAAAAGTGTATTTTAAGTATCTCCAATTTTCATGAAGAAAATCATGAAGATTTTCCCGTTTCAAATTTGGAGTGTTTGCAGCTTTTGAGGAATGGACTAATATGAGATCTTGCACCTTCAGCATGGAAAACATCATCAAAAGTGGGTTTTTCCAAACCTTTTTAGTGGTTTAAACAACCTATCAGTTCACGGGAAAACAATGTCACAGAAGGGTTTTAAAGGAAAAAGCCCAAGAAATTTGTTCATTGATATTGGGAACAGGGCAGGAGACTGTCATTAGTGAAAACATCAGGAATTCTCTGTCTCTCTGACACTCCACCTCCTGCAATGGCCACTCCTTGGCCAGTTTTTGGGAGAATCCATGTGGGAACAGGCTGTTGTCAAAGGACAGATGCTCCAAGGGAGCCACTGGGGGTTACAGAAGTCAGGAGGGAGAAGGATGTGGAAAGGGATGTTGATGTCACCTCAAATTTCTTCATGGTCTGCTGGTGAAATTTCCTAGAAACCCCTGGGGGACTGTTGCACTACGTTTATTCTTGGAATAGCAACGCCAGTTTCTCATCACTGATTTTGTAACACACCAGTGATTTGGCCAAGTTTATCTTTACACACATTTTTATGCATTTATGACTTTACCAGCCTGCTCGTGAGGCCATGGCAGCGCTCACTTCACACCCCTGGCTTGGTGCTGATCTCTTTTAAAAGTGCAAATCCAGAATCCACTTTTGATTTTATGAGAGTTTATGAATGGTTGTTAATAAACCTGAGAGCTGAGTGCCCTGAGCACTTTCTGCAGCCCAGAGGTGAGGGAGTGGTTGAGCCACAGGTGAGAAAGGAGTGAGCTGGGTGATTCACCTCTCAGCTGCAGGGATTTGGCTTCTTGCTAAAACAGCCACAGTGAGAAAAATACCTGAATGGTGCCTCACAAATGTTCCTGGGCCTGTTAATGTACTTCACACCTCCCTTGTCCTGACAGCATGCAGTGAGCAGCTCAGCTTCTCTCCACTGCAGTGAAACATGGGCTCGTTTTCTTTGGAACGAAGCTGGCATCTCACAGATCTCACCAGAGTGTCCCACGATTTAGAAATGGTCTCTAATTTAACAACCCAGAACTCCACCGTGGATAAACTTGAAAGGCTCCCCTATAAATTCTGGTCCTGACAAGGTGATGGAGATGGAAGGAGCCCACTGAGGAGAGAGGTGCTACTAGGGACATTAGTCCCATGTCCCAAAACAACACAGTGCCCTCATTTCCACTGCTTCCCTGTCAAAGTGTTTTGGGGTCCTCATCGTGAGGATGCCTGGAGTCTTCTCTCAGTTTCCCAGACAAGTATAAAGGACTTTAAAGGATTTTTAACCTAATTTTCAATGCAATAATCACAATTAATTGAGAGATTGAGATATTGCAATTACAATAATTTAGTGCTTGTTTGGTGTTTCCAAAGCACTTCACTAAGGGGATGACACAGTGCTGGGGGAGGTGCACAGTTAGCTCTCCTCTCTGCTGAACGCTCAAAAACCACTTTGAAACCCCTTGTGATGTGGCGTTCACATTCCCTGAACATGATTCTTTCGCCCAGGATTTTTCTCCTGGGAAGCTGAAAGGCAGCGAGAAGCCTCAGAAAAAAGGAAAACAATTCTTATCTCATTTGCTTCTCCTGTGTTGTGCTCATGTGGAATGTGTTTGGGGATTGTTTACCCACAGGTGATTGTTTCATTGCATTCTGCTGTGAGTTGTTTTCACTCTTTGGCCAGTCAGGGCCAAGCTGTGTCAGACTCTGGAAAGAGTCATGAGTTTTCATTATCTTTTTAGCATTCAGTAAGTATCCTTTCTGTATTCTTTAGTATAGTATAGTATTCTTTAATATAATATAGTATAATAAAGTAATAAATTAGCCTTCTGAGGACATAGAATCAAACGCATCATTCTCTCCCCTCGTCGGGGTAGCCTGCTTTTCCAACGCCTTTCCCCACTTCCCCCGGCGGGATGTTCCGTAACTCACCTTACGCCGAACCTGACTTCCTTTTCTTCTCTTTGCAAAGGATTATGAGTACCCTCTTCATTCTCACAGTTCCCAGTACCAGAAGAACGACCGGTGCCCGCCGCCGCCGCAGAGCCTGCCGGAGCGCGCCTGCGAGGTGCCCAGCTGCCGCTCCGACGCCGAGTGCCAGCGCCACAAGCGCTGCTGCTACAACGGCTGCATCTACGCCTGCCTCGAGTCCGTGCAGCCCCCGCCAGGTACAGGGGGCCCCGGGGGAGCTGGGAGAGAGAGCAGCTGCTGGGGATGGGGGTTGTGGTCGTGGTGATCTTCACACGTGTTGGGCGCGCGGGGTGGGAGGTTGGAGTGCGGGTTCTGCTCCGCACTTGGCGTTTCTGCGGGGTTGATGAGTCAAAAAGTGTCCAAGGCAAGCTGGTGTGGGAAAATTTCCGCTTGGGTGAATTGTAGAAGTCCCTCAAGGCCAGTTGTTTTCCTGGGATGGTATTTTCCATGTCCCATCCCTGGAAGTGTCCAAGGCAAGCTGGTGTGGGAAAATTTCCACTTGGGTGAATTGTAGAAGTCCCTCAAGGCCAGTTCATTTCCTGGCATGGCATTTTCCATTCCCCATCCCGAGAAGCATCCAAGGCAAACTGGTATGGCAAAATTTCTACTTGGGTGAATTGTAGAAATCCCTCAAGGCCAGTTGTTTTCCTGAGATGGTATTTTCCATGTCCCATCCCTGGAAGTGTCCAAGGCAAGCTGGTGTGGGAAAATTTCCGCTTGGGTGAATTGTAGAAGTCCCTCAAGGCCAGTTCTTTTCCTGGCATGGCATTTTCCATGTCCCATCTCTAGAAGCATCCAAGGCAAACTGGTGTGGCAAAATTTCTGCTTGGATGAGTTGTGGAAGTCATTCAAGGGCAGTTCTTTTCCAAGGACAGGCAAACTGGTGTGGCAAAATTTCCCCTTGGTGAATTGTAGAAGTTACTCAAGGCCAGTTGTTTTCCTGGCATGGCATTTTCCATGTCCCATCTCTAGAAGCATCCAAGGCAAACTGGTGTGGCAAAATTTCTGCTTGGATGAGTTGTGGAAGTCATTCAAGGGCAGTTCTTTTCCAAGGACAGGCAAACTGGTGTGGCAAAATTTCCCCTTGGGTGAATTGTAGAAGTTACTCAAGGCCAGTTGTTTTCCCGGCATGGCATTTTCCATGCTCCATCCCTGGAAGTGTCCAAGGACAGCTGCTTGAGCCTCTAGGACAGCAGGTTCTTGTGGCCCTGGATAACATCCATGTCTCCCTTTCCACTGGAACAACAAAAACATGAATATAAGTCCAAATCAATCCATCAGGCAGCCTCCTCACAGGCCCTTAGAGGAAATCCATGACATTTCCATAACTCTGTGCCCTGTGGCTGCTACATCTTGACACTGTGGTCTTTTATTTCTGTCTTCTGCAGTCTTGGACTGGCTGGTTCAGCCCAAACCCCGCTGGCTGGGAGGCAATGGGTGGCTTTTGGATGGCCCTGAGGAAGTCTTACAAGGTACAGGACATTTCTCTGTCTTCTCTGCAATATCCATAATCCCACAAAAGCCCAGGAGAATGAATCCCTTATACACAGAGCTTGCCTGGGATGTTGGGCTGCTGGGGCTGCTGGTATTTGTCTGGAGTTTCCACAGGAATAACTCTGTGTGGTGCTGGGAGCTGCTTTCTGCTGCAATAAATACTTTTTATGGATATGGATTATCCAGCAGAGCACTAGGAATGCTCCAGGGTGCTGGGCTTGTACCCATTCTTCAAATAATTAGAGATATATCTTCCTTTTAGAGAAAGGCTTTGTCATCATACACATAATTTTCTGCCAGCTTCCTGATAGACCGTGGGTGGACTTGGAATGGGAGATCCTTTAATCCAGAGTGGCCTCATCACCCAGATGCCTTGGGCTGGGGCTGTGGCTCTTGGATCTGAAGATGACTTGGACAGGAGCTCTGGCAAACTGCCGCAGAGCTGTGCCAACTGGGGCATCTCAGTTTGGAGACTGACAATGAGGTTGAGCTTCTCAGGTTCATTCCATAGGGAAAGGGGTTTTAATTAATTTTTCCCAATACCTAAAACTGAAATAAGGAGGGAGTGGGAGGTGGGAAGAGAAGTTTTCTTCTATGAGGCATTCCCAGATATATGGACACCTGAAGTTTTTAGGTTTTTCATGGAAAAGCTAACCCAGCTTTTGATCAGCTTTAATCAGATCCAGGTAGTGCCAATAAATTCCCCTCTTTGGTCTTACACAGATGGTTTTAGACTCGCTGAGCCTCAACTCTCATCTATTATGGAAACTCCAAGTACTTGAAGAGAAAATTCTGCCTCTAGCTCATTGGAGCTGCACAGCTAGAAACAAGATAAAATAGGTTCCTCCTCATCCATCCTTGTCATGCTTATACTATTTGTTCTTATCTGAACACCTTCATCTCAGCTTGAGGGAGTAATTAGGGAAGTAAGAACCATCAGTCATGGCATGAGAATTACAGCAGAGGTACTTGAAATTAAAAAGGAGAGGGAGGAGTGGCCCTGCAGAGTCTGTACATGCAATGGCCACAAACACTGCCCAAGTCCTGCTTTACCTTCCCATTCTGAGCTGCACTTGCTGCCTGTCCTGGGTGAAAAGTGGTGAAACCTCTGTTTGGGACAGGGGTGGCACTGCCTGACCCCACAGTGAGTCACACCTGAGGTTTGGATTCAGCAGCAGGCCCGTGGGCGTGGAGCAGAGAGCAGAGCAGCACACTGCCAGCTTCCTGCTCACGTTCCCAACTCCTCAGTTGCTATAAAACTGGAGGCTTGCTATAAAACTGGAGGTTTATAGCAACTCCAGTTCAGAGCCTCGTGGGACGCACTTATCCCTGCCTGGGGAGAGCAGCCCCATGGAGGGATCATCCTGCATGGTGGGGGCACTGGTGATGCCTCTCTGGGCTACCTAAAAACAGAGGTCAGGCAAAATTTTATCAGAGGATAAAAAGCAGTTTATTTTATATTTGTTGCAGGGTCTTGAGGAACATTTAGGGCAGACAAAACCCACCCAAAAATGGATTATGAGTCACAGGTTTTCACACTTTTATAAGTTTGGTCCATTTATATATTGGGGGTTAATCTGCCAATTGCAGCTTCAGCTAATGGAGTCATTTACCCCCAGTTTGCTCCTCCAACTCACTTTTGTTTCCATCTCTCAGGGCCTGAGGCAGCAAGGTATCCTTGATTGCCAGGCCTGGAGAGGAATTGTTGTGTCTGCCCAAAATGGGAAAGCAGCAGTTGATACTGTGTGGAGCTCAGAGTTATACACTTGGTGCCTAAAGAGGCTGCTTGGAACAGAGGCTGGACAGAGTTAAAGGAATAAAGTAGGGATTTATTAAAAGGCCTTCAAAGGATACACCTTGGGCAGCACAAAAGCCAGGCCATGGCTATGCCCAGGACGGACCCAAGATGGATCCAAGATGGACCCCAGGTCACGAGTTTTTACACTTTTATAAGTTTAGGTCCATTTACATATTGGGGTCAATTGTCCAATTACAGCTTCAGGTTATGCAGTCCCACCCTCCCAGTTTGCTCTTGTCAGTTCACTGTTTTTTATACTTTTTGGGCCTGAAGCTGCTATGGTGTCCTTGATTCTGGGGCTGGAAAAGGATTGTTTTGTCTGACTAAACTGTGAAGAGAACTTGCTAACACTTTATGTGAAGCTCAGAGTCACACACCCATGCAGTACAGAACCCAAAAAATACAAAAGCTACAACTTAAGGCGTCACACTAAAGAACTGCAGGATTACAAATACATGAGAAACACACAAGCTAAAAGCCTGCAGCATCAGTGGCAGGCGGTGCCCACCCCAGGGCTGGCACTCCAGGCTGTGGGGAGGGTTTGTGCAGGGAATGGGGCTGAGCTGTGCCAGGAGGGGCCAGCCCCGAGCTGCCCCCGTGGCAAGGAGCCTGAGGAGGGGTGGTGGCCTTGCTGGGGTCCCCATGGGTGTCACAGCGTGGCTGGTGACCTGCTGGCTTCTCTTGCAGCCGAGGCCTGCAGCACCACGGAGGATGGGGACGAGCCCCTGCACTGCCCCACGGGCTACGAGTGCCACATCATCAACCCGGGCAACACGGCCGAGGGCATCCCCAACAGGGGCCAGTGCATCAAGCTGCGGGGAAACCCAGGTGGGTCAGGCAGGAAACCTCCCTCTGTGGGGTGACGCCTCTTTGTGACTCGCAGATGGGGCAGCTGAGAGGCGTTTTAAAAACTTTTTGTCCCGTTTTCAGTCTCATGAGAAGGGTGAGATGATATAGATGGAATAATTCGCTCCATCACAGTCAGAAGCGAACTTCTGATTGTGCTAATTTCTTAATTACAATACATGATAAGCATTCCTTGGCCTATCAGCTTTAGCCACACCATGCTGTAAATGCCTTAAAGCCAATAATCTAAAATTACCCCTTGTAAGCCCTACTCCAATGCATCTTTCACAGTTCTCTTCCTCCAAAATATCTACTCTTATTTGCAAGGCCATCCTTTGAAACTTGTTTCTAGCTCCATTTCTCTCTCAACAATGTCTGTCCTATTCCATGGCATTTCTAAGTCAGCATTTCTTTTCTCAAGGTTTGCATACAGATGCACACCGTGTGAGCCTCCTGTCAGGCTTTGAGAATTTTCTACAAATCCATTTCCCACATTTCCCCCTCTCTCTTAAATGGAAAAAACTTCTTGTGCATGCTGATGTTTGCAGGGTAGAAGCAGAAAGGAAGGGACCAGGACACTCATGCCAGTGTCCTCTGGGGCTGTGTCTGTGTGTTCTGTCACTACACAGCACCAAAATTAGAAATATTTATATGTTACTGCATGCTTCAATGAGAAATCTGAGTTTTAAATTCCAGTTTTGTGTTCTGACTTTGCTTTCTGCGTCCAAAACTTTGATGCCTTTATTCTGCTGATGCATTTGCCCAAAAAAGAATTTCATACATGCCAGGATATTTTCCAGGAAAGCTCACAGCATGTTTAGATATTCATTGAATGGTAGGATATGTACACTCGCACTGGGCTACAAATCACCTCAGTGCAGAGACATGAGACATCAGTTTTGCCATTTGGTCACTGTAAAAAACAGGAGAAGCATCAGATCTCTGAGCTGCTTCCAAAACAGATTAAGAGTTTTTTCTAGGGCTTTTGGAGCATCTCTTTGATAACCTTTTCTTTAATAACATCCATAGTAACCAATGTAATGCAGAACTGTGGGGATCTTAGACATGAATTATTTATTAGGGCTTAAATAATTATATAAATGGCAAACAGAACAACCTAGCTGGAACTTGAATAATGTAAAATACTAATAGATGGTCTGAAAGGTTATCCAAATTTTATTTCATTTGGGAAAGCCTATGATTCCTTGACTTGTAGCTATTGAAAAGGTCATAAAATGCTTGTGGCAATTCCCACTCTTATGGCAAATGAGTTGTGTCCACAGAGCTCAGTAATCTCAGCAGTTTATAAGAGCTTTATAGCAAGCCAAATTGCTTCAGCCACAGAGAACTTTTATTTCCCTCATTGTGAGGTTATTATTTCCCTATCTCTAATTTCTCTGTGCTGCAGACAGGTCAGAGTTTAACAAAAAAAATGAAGGCTGACTGGGTATGTTCTCACTATGAACCTTCTTTTCCAGATGGACACAACCTGAGGCATAAGTACTACAAGGAATATTTTGGTAAGCTGCTGGCATGAAGTGTTTGTTCTTGTTGTTATTATTTATTGTTAAGCTTTATCATTCTTGCAATACTTACAAGGAATTTGCTCCTCATGAAATGAAGGTTTGTACATAGAAAAAAAAATTCTTTATCTTCAATTCTCTATGCCTTGGTCGGATCTTATTTTAAGATCTACAATGCCCTGACTGTGGACTCGTGAGAACCAGAATTTTCAGCTGTGGCAAAATGAGTTAAATGATGCAGTCTTCTGCCAGCAGAACCACCCAGTCCAATAATCTTTTTTTTATTATTTTAAGCATATTTTTGGAGCTTTGCTCTTGGCCCAGGACTCCTCTGTGTTGCAGCTGAACACAGAGCTGTGTCAAAAGCAGTGTCTTGGACTGTGGTAAGAGATAAGGGATGGCTGGAGCCCAGTGAATTCCCTCAGAGGTGTCAGGTCCCTCTCACAAATCTGGGGCTCCAAGAAAGCAGGAGCATCTCCCACATTTTTCCTCAGAGTTCCAAAGCTCCTGGTTCCTCCCTCTTGGATCTGGATCAGATTGGAAGTGACATTCAGGCATAACTAGACAGCATCTTTGACATAAGATTTACAGACATCCACATTTGGCCACTTTGGCTGATAAAACCATGAGAGGATTTCCTTTCCTCTCTTCCAGTGTGGGCAAACCTAGATCTCTGCTAAATAATGACACCAATAAAACTGCACTGCTGAGGGAACCTCCAGAAACCATTTGCCACAGCCCAACCCCAAACCTGACTTTGCTGATGTTTGTTTTACAGGGAGCAACTCCAACAATTTGGTCGGCTATGTGAAAAACCAGCAGAAGCATTTAGGCTAATTGAAGGTGTGCCTGGGTAAGTGCCCTGTGAATAAAGGGAAAGCTGGGTGGAAATAGCTGGTGCTTAGAATGCAGTTATTCAGAGAAACATTGTCTGAAGGTGAATTTCCTCTAAGCAAAATGCTGGAGTGAGGGCAGCACCTTAAAACCCTGTGCAGGTGCATGAAACACTCTCATTCCACCAGACACACCTGATTTCTTTGCAAAACCTTTGCCTTGTGGGTGACTTTTTAGGATGAAAAATAATTGGTGTTCCTTAAGACTTTAAACTTTGTGTTTAGGGGTTTCTTCTAACACAGGAGTAACTGGGCCTGCCAGACAAATTAAAAAGCTGTTTATTCTGGCCTGACTGCAAAAAGGGTCAGTCTTGCAAATACTTCAGCACATGGGGGTTTTGTGGGATGATTTTATGTGTGTGAACACTTGTGGTGAGCAGTGGCACCCACTCATGTGAGCAAAGGCACGTTGATCCAGAGCCAAGCCAACAGCAAAAGCTCTGTCTGTTTTATCAGCCTTGCATCAGGCAAGAATGAAAATATTTATTACACCAAAAGTTCTGTCCCAAGATGGTTTTCTCAACACTTTCAGCTTCACTTTAAAATTAACTTGGGTTTAGCTGGGAGTTCTGAAAACAAAGCAGTTCAGTGTCTTTCTGTACCTACGTCAGGCTGGCTGTTAAGATTGCTCAGCTACTTAAGGACAAGTTCTGTGCAAACATCCTAGGAAGGATAAATATTTTAATCCCTCTTCCTTTTTCTTTTTTTTTTTTTTCTTTTGTTGTTTGGTTTTCACCCAGCTGGACCACTCTGTCAAGGAATGCTTTACCCAGCAGCTTTCTGGTCCCAGATCTCCACAGCTCCAGCACCCCCTGATCCCTGCCCATCACTGACAAAAAAATTCATTATCCAAGGAACAGGATGAGTCCAGATACATGATCCAAGGAACAGGATGAGTTCAGATGCATGCCCCACCAGGAAGGGGAGAAATGTGATCCTCTGAAGGAAACCATACTGCTTATCAGCTGCCCTTCTACAAATGAAATGCAAACACCTCCAGGGATCCCTGTAAGCCACAGTGCCACGACCAGGCTGCTGACACAGAGCCTGCCCTTCATGTGCTTGTTGTGTGACCAATTCAGATTTCAGGCCTGTGAACACAACCCAGTGACGTCAGAATTCCACCTAAATATCATATCTAAGTTGCTTTAAAACAGGTGAGACTAAAGAGGTTCTCTGGGTCAAATCCAGTGCCTGCCTGTCTTGAACAAGCCCTTTAAAGAAGCCTTTTCATCAGCGTAAAATTCAAAGAAATCTGCAAATTTCTTCTTTTCCTATTTATACCCAGATAAAAAAACCAGGCTTGACCCCCACTCTAAATGGCTAAACCTGAAGTCCTTAAAATTTGAGGAAGTTTGAGCTAGGAGCAAAAACAGCTTTATAAATGTATTTAGGTTACTTTCCTCTTCTCAGTCTGGTGAGCTGCAGATTGAGGGTTAATAATGGAACAGATTCCTTCCTGCAATATCCAGGCTGACACACAAATGCATGCCAGGTTTTGTAATGTGCTGTTTTTAGCCAGCACAGTTAATACTCACAAAATCTGTGGGTTTGTACCTGCAAAACCTCAGCAAGAGGCCTGAAGTCTGGATAATATGTTAAATGTGTTAGCAAATCAAACCCAGGGTAAATTTTTGTGATGAAAAGGATGGTCTGGCAGATGGACTACTGCTCCTCAGGAGTCCTGTACCTTTGTGTTGATTTCCCTAAATCCTTAAAGCCTGCATATTTGTATTTGGACCTCACAGCAGCTTTGAGCTGTTTACCATTATACAATGGAAAACACATTTTGTATTAAGATGTGGCAGTCCTGAAGGGACAGTTGCATTTTTTGCGACAAACCAGCCAGAACTGTCTGGCAGAAAAGCCACATTTGCTCCATGGTTTAGTCCACGTCGCCATCTGCATGCATGAAATTAGCATTTTGATTTTCACAGTAGTAGCACTGCATAGAAATACCCAATTCACAAATGCGAGCGCCTGCTTCCACTCACAAAATACAGGATTCTTTTTTTCCATTCACTAAATGGTTTAAGCCAAATCCAAGACACCTATAAAACTCCTGATACTTTGCACATGACATTTGCAGCTGGAGAGATGGAAGGTGCCAAACTGCTCTTCTGTTTCCTATTCTAAACACACTCCTGGGTGCTTTACAGAGCAAAGGAACAGCTGAAGGGCTCCACATGTTCCTAAATATCTTCATTTGTTCTACTCACTTTTTTTCAAAGTGCAAGATATTAAATGCAGCACCATGTTTGGACAGAGCTGTTTCTAGAATTTTATCCTATACAGCTTCCTGCAGTGAGATCTTAATTCCTGCTTGGACACAGGAGCCACAGAGCCAGAGAATTGTGGTTTGGGTTGGAAGGGAGTTTGAAGCTCATCACCTTCCACTAGAGCAGGTTGTCCAGGCTCCAATCCATATTTTATAGTTCCAATCTGTGTTCAGACCACAAACTTGTCACTTATCCTACTGCAGCCTCGCTCCTCAGTGCTGCTCAGTGAAATGGATTGATTTTGTTCAGCATTACTTCCTGCAGAAAAAAAGATTAAATTCTGATTAAATGAGCAAAGCCCTTCAGTGATCACTGCTGGCCCCACAGGGTAGATGTCAAAATGTTCTGTTTCAAACTAAAAAATACCTAAAACCTTGTGAGTAGTTAGTTGAAAAACTAATGCTGAGCATTCACAAATTTGAAAGATTAAAACTTCAAATCTCAACCTAATCTCTCAAAGCAGCCCAAAATATGCTTAATTTGAGTGGGCACATTCACCTCAGTGTCTGTTTTCTCTGTAGCTGCAGAAGCACATACCTGACCACCTGGGTGGGACAGTACAGATATTTTCTGCTTGCAAAAGGAATTAAATAAATTTTAAAAAAAAAAAAAAAAGAAAATTGACAAATTAATAATTTGATGGTGAATTTCTGTTTACTGGGTGTTTCACAGCCATCACCCTCCTTCGTGGTGCTATAATGCTCAGGGGGATTTTTCCAAGTTAATTCCAGTTATTAATTGTCAAACTCAGAAACAAAAGCCACAGAAGGGACTTGACAAAGTGCTGTGTTTTCAGCAGTGAAACGCTGAAATGTGAAACTCAGACACTGAAATGAAAACACAGAGCAGGTGAGCTGTCCTCAGCTGCTCTTCTCTGCAAAAACAGATCTGCTTCATCAGCAGCCTGGCGCAGCACGGTAGGAAATGCCTGGTGTAGGATGTTTTTAACGTTTTCATGACCACTCTGCAGTGTGTTTGGTGCTATGATAGCCTTCCTGTGTGTCACTGAGTGCTGCTCTGCCCACAGCCTCCCACATCCCCGAGGATCTGGGCAGCCCCAGGCAGCCCCTCCCTGGTTTGTGCTGTTCAGGTTCTGCTTTGGTGCTCAATAAAAAGTGACCAGTCTGTTTGTCAACCCTGCCGAGTTTCTGTTGTGTCTTCTTGATGTACTTTCAGCTTTGGATTAGGGAAAAAAAAATGGACAAATCTTCTAAATTTTACTTGTTGGGAGAACATAACACAAGCGTAGGGAGACAAAAGTCATTTTGTCCACTGGAAGGGAGGTGATAGACCCCAAAACACATCCACCACCCCTGTCCCCTTCCAGAAGGGTCCCTGTTTCGGGTCAGACCCTCAGTTTTTGGCATTTTCCCTGCCCACAGAGGAGCTGGTGGACAGCCCTGGGGAGGCTGCGGGTGGTGCCCCAGGTGAGGTGACCCTCTGTTGGCACTGGGGCAGTGCTGGTGCTGCCAGCTCAGGTACTTTGGGCTGCACCAGCAGCTGCCCAGGCAGCTTTGCAGGAACCTCAGAGGGTGCAGAAGCCAAGCAAGGCGAAGGTCAGAGCTGGGCTGTGCCCACTGCAGGACAGAGCTGGCACAGGACAGGGCTTGGGCCATTCCCAGCCTGCACCATCCCACCTGCTCCACCCAGCCAGTCCTGCTCTACCTGCTCCTCAGGAGGGGCAGGAGCCCTCCTGCACTGCCCTGACAGCACAGCAGGAGAGGAGCTGCCTGCAGCCCAGCCACGGGGACAGCAGCGGGGCTGGCACCTGGGGAAGGTCTGGGGGGTTCACATGAACCCAGGCAGCAGCAGGTGTCCGGAGAGCTCCTCGCTGTGTCCGTGGAGTTGTGCTTGGGATCACTTGGACCTCTTGTGGTCCTTAGGATCCTTGGGATCACTTGGTCCTCTTGTGGTTCTTGGGATCCTTGGGATCATTGGACCTCTCATGGTCCTTGGGATCACATGGACCTCTCATGGTCTTTGGGATCCTTGGGATCACCTGGACCCCTCATGGTCCTTAGGATCAGTTGGACCTCTTGTGGTCCTTGGGATCACTTGGACCTCTCGTGGTCCTTGGGATCACCTGGATCTCCCCGTTTGGATGGGGAGGTCACAGGGGTGTGCACATAACTCCTGTCTCCTGCTGGGAGGTGTGACAGCAACCAAGAACCTTGGCTTCCAGGAGAATGATTGGTTTGACGAACACCCCAAAATCATGGTTTAATTTAGGCTCATTTCCACACCAATGCAAGCAAATACAGATTCAGCTGCTGTAGTTTGGTCGTGATCATTGTGGAAAAAGCACAGCATGACCTGAGGCAGAGTCTGGAGTGACACTGAGGTGCTGTCAGGGCATCCCAGGAACCAGCAACAGGATCAGCAGGAGGACTAACAAAACAGATCTTCAAGGAGTCTACTCCTACCGCCAGAATAATATAAAATAAATTCTGATGTACCACTGTGTGGTGTTGGGGTGTCTTGGTCAACTTCAGGAAGTTTTCCATAGTTTGGTGAGCAGTGAAGAAGCCTCTGAGGTTTGGACAACCCATAAAAGAGTTTTTGGAGGCTGGAGGTTTCTCTTTGCTCGTGACACAGCAAGGGTTGGCTCATACAGGGGGTTATTTTCTTCTCCCACCTCACCCTGGCTGCAGAGGCTGGATTTCCCTTTGGAGGTGGGGTTGGATGTGCATTGATTGTCTCTCTATGGCAAAAGGATTTACTGCATCATCTAGGATGCTTTAATAGTTTCTCTTTGCTCGTGACACAGCAAGGGTTGGCTCATACAGGGGGTTATTTTCTTCTCCCACCTCAGGTTGGATTCCCCTCCGGAGGTGGGGTTGTATGAGCATTGATTGTCTCTCTATGGCAAAAGAATTTACTGCATCATCTAGGATCCTTTCAGCCAAACAAAACCCACCAAACCCAAAATAAAAAAACAACAAAAACAACTAATGAAAAAAAAAACAAAAGCAACCCACCTTATTCTGGTGAGTCTGCAGAGGTAAATCCTATTTCTGCCCATTATTTTCTCCTCGTCATTTTTCCATGTAGACAAAATAGCAAGAACAACAAGAGAGGCTGTGTAAAACAAAAAAGATCTTTAGAGAGTTTTCCAGACATAGCTGTGGATGGTGGGGCAGGTTCCACCCATCCTGAGCCCCCCACCAGGTGAGTCTCCCAATTTAAGCAATGGAAACTGTGCAAAGAGAAACCAAAAGCTTTCATTAAATTCCCTCTTCCTTCCCCATTACACACCTGGGGACAGACCTAAGGATTTTACTCAACCTTGATGGGAAAAGATGTTTTTTGCTTTAAAAACCAGAAGCAGCAGAAGTTCTGCCCAGGAAAATCTCAACCCAAAAGTGAAGAATTTGGATTTTTGGGTAGCAGCAAACTCCATTCTACCCGTGCAGAAGAGATTTTTTCCCTCAAGGTGGCACAAGAGGAACAAAAGTGCAACAAGCCCTGGTTCTGGCAGGGGAGAAGGTGAAGGAGCTGTGAGTTTTGAGCTCACAGCATCATAATTTTGCGCTCAGGGAGTCTCAGAGAATGGCTCCTTTGCTGTGTGTGTCTTTGTAACAGACATTTTCTACTTAAAAGACAAAAAAAAAAAAAAAAAGGTTTTCCAAATAATCTCCTTAGAACTGGAGCTTTATTATCCAATTAAATAGGAAATACTGTAAGGGCATTGTAATTGGGCTGTGTGTTATGTTTTTAGAGTGTGAAAATGATAGAGTGAAGAAATACAACTTGTATTAGTGTTGTTTTCTTAACATTATGGTCCTGATTCAGTCTATTCCCAGCATTTTCTGAGCCATGGGATAGCAAAATACATTAATTTCTCATTAGATTTCCTAACATGCAGAAATCAACAGCAGCAAGAAAATGAAACTTGAGTCCATTCAGCAATTTCTCAGAGTGAGTGGCAAACAGCAACATTTTTTTTTTCCTGCATTTATTCCATCTCACCAAATATAATTTCCCATAACAGAACTGAGGGAGCACAAAGATGAGAGAGAGAGATGTTGTCCTGAGCCCAAACCACGCTGTTCCTCCCCAGTTTCCTGGATAATAAACCATCCTGCACTGATTGTTATGGTGCAATATTATACTCATCAACACGTTTTTCTCCTTTTCTGTGTCCATTTTGTCTTGGAATTTCTCCCAGTCCCACTCAGGGCATTGTTCTTCCTCCCTAACCCGGGGTGTGGCCGTGGTGCAGATTCTGGATTTTGCTCTTGCAGCTCCATGTGTCTCTACAAGCAGCAGGGTTGTGCCAAGGGGATGATGCTAAACAAGGAAAGGATCAGCCTGTTGCTCAATTAGCCACGGTGGCTAATGAGGGCCATGCTGGGGCTGCCCAGGCCATGGGCACACTGAGCACAGGATGCTCCTCATGGGCAGCAGCTTCATGGATGATGGGTGAGGATTTGGGGTGAGAAAATCAAAAGCAAAACCAAAGGGAAGTTTTCTTCCTACCTGCCTAGAGAGAGGGAAAGTATTTTCCACCACTTTTCTGGCAGAAACACAAGGATTTGGAGTGATGTTAAGATTGTGGCGACCACAAAAACGCTCAGGTGGGCAGGGGGAGGGATTCCCTGGCAGGTAGTGCTGCTGTGCCTTCTCAGGAGCTGGCAGAGCCAGCTGGACGTGCTCCAGCTCCTTGGGAGAGCTGCACTAGGAGGGGGGACCAGTTCAAGAGCACAAATGAGCTCAGAGATGTTTCACTCATGATTCCCCTACGATAAAGTCCAAATCCCTCTGTATCTGCTCCAAGCCCTGGCTAAGCACCTTACCTAAACCCTGGGCAGGGCCTGGATGTGAGATTCCCGAAAATCAGAGCCTAGCATCACCCCTGGCTCCTTTCCCACGGGAAGGAGCGCTGCTGGGTGATGCAGGAACTCCCTCCCTCCCTCTGCCTGACGCATCCAGCTCGGATCCTTGCGAAAGCATTGCTCAACTGAGGGAGCCAGGAAGACCCAGCTGGGTTTTACCAGATGCTGGCTCCCTTCAGGGTTTCCCAATCGCTTTGTTTTCCCCCCCAGGCTGGGAAGAAGCTCCTCCCTCCCTCTACAGCACCTCGGTGGGTGCTCTCTGTAGCTGCCTGGGGTGGCCCAGGGGCTCCTCAGCTTTTCCTGGACCTGGTGAGACCCGGGGGATGCAAACAGGATATAGATACTCCATGGAAAAGCAGTGTTTTCGTGAGGGTTTTAGCACCACAGGCTGTCACAGAGGTCTATGGACTTGGCCTCATCATGGTCCAGAGCAAAATAAATGTGCAATTTTCTGGACATTGTCCTTGGAGGAAACTCTTCTGCAGAAAATTGCACATCTATTTTTCTCTGGCTGAGAATGGCTTTTATTCCCTCGGTGCAGTTTTTTACTGTCAAAGGAGGATCTGAATCTCAGGGACAGCTTGAGGGTAAGTGGATCCTGCAGTCACGGTGCCTGGGGGAGGATGTCGGTCTCCTGGGGCAAACCAGAGCGTGATGCTCCCTGACAGGCAGACATAAATCTTTGGGAATGATGCAACCAGTGCACTTTATCAATCCTAGAATCACAGAACCAGAGGATATCACAAGCTGGAAGGGACCCACAGGGATTATTGAAGTCCAGCTCTGGACATCAAAATCCAACCTGAGCTGTGTGTTAGGCTTCACCACGAAAAGAACAAATGAAACACTGTGGATTTTATAAATGATCATTACAGATCCCCACATCACACATCCATGATGTAAACACTTCTAAATCCCGGCGTGTGCTGACTGGAGCATTTCCTAAGGAGAACCATCCCAGCCTGGATGTTTACAAACAGGCTCGGCCGTGCGCGGAACCTGCCCCTGGCCAAACACCTTCCCTATCTCCCCGCCGACGCTCCTCCCGCAGCAATCCTTCGGAGGGCGGAGGAAAAACCCCAACCTGCTCTTCAGGTGCACATGGAGGTGTGCCTCGTGTCGCAGCCCGGTGTCACACACAGGCAGCCTTCCCGGCCGGCTTTTATGGGAGCAGCTCGCAGGGCGCGCACCTCCCTCGGGCTCCGGCGGCCGAGGGAAGGCGTGACTTGGCGGCAGCTCCAGGTGCCTCTCTCTCCCTGCAGGTAACCCCGAGCTGCCGGGGAGACCGAGCCAGCCCTGC